CCCGTGGAGTCTTGGGTGCCTAGATAGCACCTGGCATTGGAGAGTTTTTCTTGCTCTAAAATATTTATCCCACTAAGTCTGATTATATATAGCAGGAGTTTGGAGTAGAATAAGCCTCTGCTGACATGAGCCATTAGAGCTGCTTATAGTTACACAAGGAGAAATGTGTCAGTGACTTGCATTAAATGCTGAGCCCTTACAAAGCCCTCATTGTTTTCCAAGAACCTGAGTGAAGGTTGAAGATGAATGTTTGCCAAGATGCAGTTTCAACTGTCTGCAAAGCCCCCAACTCTGCTCTTGGCAATACCAAACAAATAAATATGATTCCATTTTATAGATGAGGACCCTGAAGCATAGATCTGTTCTTGCTGTCAAAATCAGGATCTGGATGCGTGAATCCCTGCTCACCCCTCCCACACACACACACACTGCCCCCCCAGTCTCCCAGCCCAGGGAGGTGCCTGCAGCCCCAAATCCACCCACCCCTTTCAGCTGCTTCTCCCTGACTTTGCCTTAGCCTCTTAATAAGCTACCTTGCTAAGCAGAGACCCCTCCTCCTAGAGGTCCCTGAGGGGCTCCAGGACCCTCCCCCACCAGCAGCCTCCCCTGCTGGGGCCTTGCCCACCTTCCTTCAGCACTGGGGGCTGGTCACTTGGCTGAGGCAGACCTCCTTTAGACTCGTTGACCCTCCTTGGAGGGTCAGTGGGCACTGTCCAGTGCACTCCTTGCAGACATAGGACCCTTGCTCCTGTCCCTGGTGTGTGTTTTATTTGCCTCAATGCATTGACAGTATGCCTTTAGTAGCCCTCATCGCCAGTGGCGGCTTATAGCTTGACTTGGGCTAGTCCCAATAGCCTTTCTTTTCAGTGAACAGAAGGGCTTGCTGTGCCTTCTAGCCACTTGCCTGGCAAGCCGCAGGGAGACCCGGCTGCCAAGGGCAAACTTTCTTCAGTGCAGTTTAACCTGGCAGTGCATGTAGATAGCTGGTATTTTTCTTACAAAACTGTTAAATACAGCCCCCTTTCTCCCATCAAGCCTTTGATTTTACACCCACTGGCTAGTTTCCTTCTAACCAACCTAAGAGCAGAAAGATGCAAAGCTCTAGCTGGTCATTCGCTTGCCAGACCAGCATGTTGCAGTCGAGGATAGGCTAGGAGGCACGCAAGCTCCTGTTAGCTCAGGAGGCTGTGTGCTAGGTGAACCTCTTTCAAGAGGCATCCATGTGAAAAGTTCCAAGTGGAAAGCTTGCAAGGGAACATCTGTCAGCCTCTTCCAGCCCTGCCAGTTGCTTTCTGCATATCATCTGTGCCTGCCCATGTGGTAAAACATGCTTAAACTTCAGCATTACAGCTTCCGCTGTTGGTACGAACAGCAAGCAGTACCATTTCTTCACTGAAGGACAATTCTTTGCCTCTGCCTCCTGTATATCATTGCATCTCCTCCCACCCCATGCATAGACTAGTGAGTGGCATGGGGGAGGGTAGCTTGAACTAACTTAATGTGAATTCATAAGAACAGTGGAGGAAAAGATGACCTGTGTTTTGGTGACAAAAACAGTGTGCGCAAATAGAAGGCACTGTGACTAGAAGTCAATTAGGCAATGCTGGCATAATCTGAGATGGAGGAACCACATGTTGTAGGAGGCCACTCTTACTTTCTCGAACTGTTGAGCTGGAAATCCTTTGCTTATGGTTAGAAACACAGACCAGGAATTAACATATCTCATTTTTACTGCTGTGGGAGGCTCTTAAGGTTGTGAAACGGATCTACAGGAATCAAACTAGTGCTCTTTCTTTTCCCCTTGATACTAATGTGCTTTAACTTGCTGTGGTTTTAGTTCCCCCTACATGTCGAGGGAGGCAGAGCTGGAGGAAGTGGTATTAGTCTGAAACTCTTGGTGATACCTCTGTCATAGTGAAAGAGCCTATGAACAGCTTTTGAATGCATATGTTTTTGTGCATCAACTTCTGAGTTCTGAGAAGGATGACATTGTTTCTCTTTAAAAAGGCAGGGTGGGAGGGAGGGGGGTAGGAGAGAAGAAGTAGGATTTACTGGTTAAAGTTGAATTTTTTTTATATGTGATTAGCTTTGAGCAAGATATTGGCTTCTAAAACAAAGCTTCTATTGCCACAAGTGAGATGACTTTAAGAGCTGAAAGTTGATCTTTTTGTCTCTTCAGCCCTGCTTACCTGAGATCAGCTGAAATGACTGAGGTGATGATGAACACTCCATCTATGGATGAGATTGGGCTAAACCCCCGCAAGGATGGGCTCTCATATCAGGTGAGCTCTCTGACTAGACACTGCTGTCAGCTGCTTAGGTGGTGATGGCAGGAGCCTATAAAGTCTGGGCTGGATTTCAACCTCGGTCTAATGTACCCTTCCATAATCTGAGCAAGTAACAAGTATTCTTATAATGGGAACAAGTCAACAGACTGGAATGTTTGCTTGGCAGGACAGAATTGTTTAAAACAAGCTTCACTCTTAATATCAGATTGTAATAATTATGTAGCATTCTTCCAAGGGGAGGAAGAACAGGGATATGGGGAAAGAAGGGCAAGTTTCTTAATGAAGAATTTAGATTTGTCCACTAGGATTATCCAACTTGCAGCTCTGTCTGGAGGAGCTCCAACCTAGCGCATCTGCCTAGAGCAGATGGGAGCTGTTTATACAGCACTCGAATCTTTTAAGCTACTTTCTGTTTATACTGAGCAGGCAAGGCTATTTTAAACTGGTTAGACTGTCTCCCATGGCACGTGGCAGAGCCAGAAAAAACCCAAACAAATCTTGAAATGGCAACTTGAATAGCTTAACACTTAAGGGTGTATAAACTCCTGGCATTTTTAGGGCATAGAGGAGGATGGGATTTGATGTCAAAACTAGATTTGGCATTTATAGGCCCCTAGGTACCCTCTTTTTATCTTTATCGTAGCTTTGGAAAGCTAATATTTCTAATGTGTGGCTCAGTTCATCCTCTGTAGTGCCTGGCACACAAACATTTATGCGTCTCAGAGGACTAGGAAGACCATCCCTATTCTTTTAAAAAAAAAAAAGACTTTCACTTTTTTTTTCCTACTGGCTTCTAGGCAATGTAATGTTTGTGTGATTTGTAGTTGCATGCGTATGTGCCAGATCTCTACACACAGGGATTCTTAACAGGATGGCAAGCTTCACAGTGCTCGATCTTCAGACATGGTGATTGACTGTGTAGCAGCAACTGTACATGCAAATTTGATGCCCCTTACCCATTTAGCTCGTGAGCCTTAAATTTTAGAAATGTATCGGAGCATAAGGACCAACATCATGGCAATAGGCCAACCCTGTGGAAAGGGAATATGTGGCTCCTTTGATCAGAAGAATATGGTTCTGTGTCGTATGGATGAGCTGGTGGTATTGTACAGGAAGTAGCTGAGTGTAGCCATTGCCTTATGGTGCCTGGGTAAGGGTTGGGTCCCAGATCCTGGCCACCGCAGAGTGGCATACTTCAACAGGAGCTGTATCGTTCTTGGATACAGTTTCATTACGGTTGCTCCTACACCTTTTACATGCTGACCTATTAAGCTGTGATCTAGTTGGACTGAATACAGGGTGCTTCTCTTGCTGTATAGATGCATCTGGAAGATTCAGAGAACTAGTTGGGATCTTTCTCTAGAGAGTCAACTAATTTAATACCATCAAGTTCCACTTTAAACTATGCTGCAAGAGGGTCCTAACACTACCTGTAGAATGCATGTAGCTACTTGGAGCTCCTTACCCCTCCATAATGACCTGGGGCAGGCATATTTCTAACAGCCTGTGAGATGCTACTTATCCATATGTCTGTACTTAACTGGTAGGCTTGCCAACTAAGAGGCTACCATTCTGTTTGAGAGGTCATGGGTTGAGTGGGGAAGCAGGGGGAAGTAGAAAGGAACCAGCTACATATTGGCATCTCTAAATCCTTATATTCTATTGGCCCAATACCTGAAGCAGGACCCTTGTTTCCGACTGAGTCGGATACAAGGGCAAAGGGGGTTGAAAGTCTACATTGTAGTCTTCCTGCTGGCTGCAGTCTGGTGAAAACTATATTTGGCACACATTTGAATATGGATAGTTGGTGAAGCTAAATAGCCATGTATGGCTTAAGAAGGAGAGCACTTAAATGTTCCTTTAAGAGGTTTCACTTATTCCTAGGCTAATAGGATGCAAACAGTGACATTAACTCCCCTTTTCTCCCAGAAAGCCTGGCATTTTTACCAAGCCCATCTTGTCACTTGAGAGAGTGGTTGGTTGGTTGGTTGGTTTGTTTGTTTGTTTGTTTGTTTGGGCGGGGGGGGGGTTAACATGGAAAATTGTACGCTAGGCTACCAAGTGTACAAGTGCAATAACTTCAAAAAACAGATGGGGCTAATGAACCATGAATGTTCTTGTATAGACTAAAATGTTCTAAACTACAAAATGTTCTTCCACCCATCCTGCAGGCTTGGACTTCAAAGGTATAAGTATCCCAGCACTTAGACAGGGAGGCAAAGTTAGAATTGTGCTCTAGTTGCTTGTCCAGCACCCAAGAATTTACTAATAAAAGCAAGTCTTTAGCTGCAATAATGACCCTCTCATACAGTTGTTCATCTTTTAACTTTGCATTGCAGCTAAGACAAGCTTGAAATGGAGTTCTAAATTTAATGCTCCTAACTCTCAAGGCCCTACTGGTTCTTGAGGGTCTGATTCCTGTGTGGTCCCTGATTCCAGAAGAAGACCATTCAGAAGGTGGCAAGATTTTGATGCCCCCAAACTTGAGCATGAATGCTGAAGTAAATGAGCTGATCTGAGCCTGGAAGTCTTTTCTTCTTTACTTATCACTTGAAGATGGCCTGGACACCGAGCTAAAAGGCTGTGCTAAACAAAGCAGACTTTGGTAGGACTCTACAGGATAAATCATAGAAAAATAGGGCTGGAAGGGACCTCCTGTAGTCATCTAATCCAACTCCCTGTCTGAGGCCAAACCATCCCATACAAATGCTTGTCTAACCTATTACTAAAACTGCACAACCAGCTATTATACCTTGTAGTTGCAGAGCACCCTAACCTGCCACAGGTAAAGCAGGGGTATCCCAAATCATGGGATTCTGAACTTTGATTCTGGTCTGTCTGCTACCCACTACTCTACTGAAAAATTTGAACTTAAAGAGTTCTTTCCCCAGTCCATCTGTGAGTAAACCTCTTTGCACACGTAAGTGACTGACTATAGTACACCACAGTTTGGAAGGTAGTAGTTTGGAGGCCTGACTTCCATATATTTGAAGCCAATTTGACATTCTTGCACAAGTCCTGTGGCTTTGTGCATGCACATACTGCACAGGCACATGTTGGCTGGATGCTCGGTTTCATATTAAAAACACTTCAGTCCACAAAATGAAAACCCTTTCTGTGTGAATTGAAGGTTTTGGTGATACTGCACCCTTTGCCAGAGCAACTGACTGTTCATCATCTTGCAAGACAGTTCAGTCATCTAGTTTAAACTCATACTGAGTCTTGTGACTGTAGTGAAGATTTAATTCTACTTCTTAAATGGCTGTTGTGTAATTCCCAAGGGAATAATAAAACACTAACATGTGGATGAAGGAGAAAGATGTGCCTCTGCTACAGAGACCAAAGTGTATGTAAAAGATTTCATTCACTTTCCGTTTGGCAACCTCTTGAGTCCTGCCTTCTTGCTGCCAGTTGGAACTAATGTAAGGTGTTCTTCCTCTTGGGACTCAAGATACGCTGCTGGTCATCTACGAAACCTAATTGCCACTGCTGGCTCATTTCCCTTTCCTCTTCTCACACACACTTCCCCAGTATAATTTCACAGCATAACAAATTATGCAGCTGAAGTTACGCCTCACTCAAGACTAAATTAATTGTTCCAACTGAACTGTCATCAAGAATGCCTTGACCTGAATCTCTTGACTTTCTTATAATGGTAGCTGGGGTTTAGCATGACTAACACACTGGTGCCTACGGCCACTATGCTAAACAGACTGTCTAAGAAAACTCCTGTGACCTCACTGTCCTATACTGCAGACTAATTGATCCTTTGACCCTCCAGAACATTAGCTTTATTTCTAAAAGGGATAGGCTCAGGATTTTTTGTCTATCAAGTACACACAGTCCAGCTCTGTTCAGTCATGGGAAGCATGAGGTTTTTCAGTCATGATGCCTTCATGCTGGGATCTGACTAGTAGACTTGATCTGAGTTTCATCTAGCAGCTAGCCATCATTTTTTGAATGGCATCCACAGAACTAGAGAGGTTCTGTGGCAGCTGAAGAAATACTGAAGCTTTTGCCACATGAGTGGCAAATATATTTTATCTTCAGTAGGAAGCTGTAATTCTGCATGTTTCTTACTAACATCCCTTGGAGTTGGATTCTGATCCAGTAGTAAAATTAATCTGGATTTACATTAACTTCAGTGCGACTAAACTGCAGCACAACCCAGACATGAGAACCTGTAACTCAGGGGTGGGTAAAACATTAAAAAAAAAAAAAATGTTTCTCTGCTCCTGGCTGCCTGTCAAAGATGACAGAAGCCATGGGCAGTAGGACCTGGCAGGGTGGGGAGCTGGCAGGACTCACCAGCAAGGCCATCCCAGCCCTGCCCTACCCTCACCCCCCCGCCCAATCAGAAGTGTCTGCCTGCCTCAGCTTTCGAGCTGCTCCAGCACCATGTGACCTCCGGCTGCATTGCTGGACCATGGGATCATGGACCGTGCGGGTGGGCATGATCATGGGCATGAGTACTCTGGGTCCAGGTGGGTGGGTGCATGCATGTTTGCTTGTTCATAGGGCAAGTCCCACATGCATACCTCACCATAAACATGCACCCACACCCCCCC